AGTTAAAACCATGTAAAATTTCATCCACTACGAGACGAGAGTAACATTTCACTTTCTACTGTATACTTTTATGAAATTACTTGTTTGTATCAGATAATTTACAGATGTTGGGTTTCCAATTAATTAAAAATTGTTCGGAATGAAACATGTTTTAATAATCACTCCCCGTGTACCTGCACTTTAAATCGAGTTCCTGGGTTTCTGAATGTAAAAAAAACAAAAAAACTCCTGTATACAATATTGTACGTGACACGAAGATAGCTCTTGTTTCAGTACGCTCCTATTTGCTTCACATGTGGGACCGAAACATCTTTCTCCTGCATACAAAATATTTTTATCACAAATTTAGAATATAAGTTATGTATGCATTACAAGAGATCGAAACATGCCTAGAAATCAGAATTGTTAGCTGTTTGAATATTTTCGCTGTAGCGCTGATGTGAACAACGTTTCTCTATTACACAAAATACTATATAAAACAAGACATTGTTGTAACAAATTATGTGTGTGTCATTCTAATGGTTTGGCCCTTTAAGCTGCGTCATTACAAGACCAACGACACAACACACTACAGCTTTGTTGATTCTTTATGTTATTTTATTGAATCCGATGGATTATGGTTACTAATACAGCAACGTTTGACATGTGATGATATGACGTCTCAAATGTTGTGTCTGCTTTGATACCGATAGGTGTGATTACGATAATCTACCTCTGAATTGCCCTTTTGTGATTTAAACTTCTAACACCCCTGGTTAGAGGGGAAACGCGCGGCAAAGTGCTCGCACTGTGTTTTCTTTCTACCAGACTGTGCGCAATAGGAGTCAGATCGAAGGTTCCTTATCTACACATGCCAATAACACGGCTATACAAGCTTAAGAGAGCACTAGACCTGAGTATATGGAGGGCAAAGATAGTGTCTGGCTGGGACTTGATTGAAAACGTATTCCACTCTATTAAGTTTACAAAGTTCTCCTGCTTGTTCATGGAGATGGTGACCAATTTAGTTTGTTACGCATGGCAAGTTAACTGAAAAGGCTAAACCTGGTTAATTTCCAAGAGAACGCTAGAAAATTCATTGAATATGGGCTTTAACTTTTTAAGATGCAGATAACAATGAAAATGTTGATTAACGAGTTTTCAGCTAGAACGGTATTTCTAAAAATGAAATAGATATAATATGCACAAATGTAATCGTAAACAATAAGTTTGTATATCAGACTTAGCAACTATCTCAGTTAAAAAAAAGGTGGATAGTAAATAGACTTATTTTGAAAAACTCAGACCATCATTTAATCTTAAGGCTTAACTGTGAAATTATGCAATATACATTTATCAATAAGAATTAGGAAATGTTTGAAATACATTTAAATACTCTTAAAAATAATATGTTAAACATATTTCCATTCAGCATTTCAATCTATAACGTTCCAAATGACTATAAATTATATCTACTTTTCAGAAACTGTATTGGTAGACTGTGTATGCATTCGTGAGAAACTGGGTCAAACCACTTACAACCAGCTGAGTTTTTAATGGATTTTATTTGCTGGTCCTCCACCAATTTTTCTTGCACAAAGGGAAAAACCTCAAAAAGGAAAGGATGATGTTCACATTAACCATCACATGACCAGCTGGGTCGTTAGCAGACTTTACTTAACAGACGTCTCACGATTTTTTCACACTCGAAAGATGAACCTCCGGTGTTAAAGTTAAGCTGCTCGCATCCTCAATGGAATATACTTGCTTTAGTCGCCAGACAATCTTGTCTGTTCAAAGAGAAATTGAGGTTGAGGATATTAATAACGTAGCCTGACCATGCAAAACTGTAACCATGGCAATCAAACGTAGCTCACATTTTAAAACAATCATCATTATTATATGCTCTTCCAAACACAAAGATATCTTAGTTTTTAATTAATTTGACCTTAAAACTGTAATCTCCGAAACAATGCTGAGAATGAAATCATACACGATGAGGAGGTAAAGTCTAGAAAGAGAAAACTGCTCTAAAAATAACCTTATCCCGTTGGAAAAGTATAATAAAATGTAAGATACGGAGTGATTGTAGGAAATGAAACAAAAGGATGTTCAATTGCATTCCAGATTTATCTAAAAACGTTGCTATTAACACTACAAATTTCAGTCTGCTTTTAGAGCTGTAATCGTGAGTATTACCAAAGGCTAATTTCTCTACACAAAAAGAGGTATATTTAACTTCAATATAGACTCTCAAACATTTAAGGTGTTATGCAGCAATAGAAATTCGAGTAGCTAATTTTCTATAGATCAACAAAAACGGCATCATTTCGAATACTCATAACTTGTGCTACGCATGTATAGTAAGTCCCACATTGTGGAGTGACGAAACATTTTAATTTGTAATAGATGCTTCAAGATATCTTTTCATTAAAGTGTAATCGGTTTTTTTTAAAGGTCAATCGAATAAAAAGGCGTAAAGTGGCATAAGTTATTAAAAGTCGTACGGTCATATTATAATAATAATTTATTATAGCTAAAACTGGAATGGTCAAAAACCCTAAACAGTAGCAAAACGTATGACCGGAAATTAGATAGTATTAGTATGAGTTGTTAAATCATTGGGTCTTTTTTCTAGTAAACCTGTTTATGAGTGACGTAACATTCTTTCTCTTGGACCCCCAGTGGTACAGAGGTATGTCTACGGACTTACACCCCTAGAAACCGCGTTTCGACACACGTGGTGGGTACAGCACGGATATCCAATTGTGTAGCTTTTTGCTTAACTACAAACAAACAATATTTAATTTGTTTTAGGTTTTGTATTCATGGCTCTTTTGATAATACTGAATTGTCTTACAAACACCTTAAGTAATTAGATCGAATACGGCCTAGTGGTTAACTGGCTCGAACTGTGAATCCGAGGATCCCTGGCTCACTTTGAGACCGTGATTCGCTATAATAGTGACGATCAAGTCATGTTATTCAATCAGATAAGAGCACCCCAAGAGTTTGTGGAGGGTGATGTTGACTGGCTGCTTTCCCACTAGAATATCAGCTCAAAGATAGAGACGGCTAAGCGTAGCTTTGCACGAATATTCTAAAAAATTAAAAAGCAGTACCACATTTACGAAAAAAAGTGTGTATTCCAAAATAAGTCGGTATTTTAGATATATGTATATTCTTAAATCCGTAGATGATTTTCAAAATGTAATGTGTATTATGCTTATTCATATAAATTTGCATAATCCTTGTAATTCAACCTATGATCAGGCTCAGAGATTGACAATTGTAAAAGTCTTAAAACAATGCTAAAGCTGTCAGTAGCAGCCATGAATGTTGTATTTTAGAAGAACAACGTGTAATAAATAGCTTTAATGGCTATTATCAGGAAGTTCTAGACTATGTTATTCATAATTTTTTCAGCTCAAAAATTCATTCGGATAATTTAATGATAATGTAATTTTCTGTTGTTTATCCTTTTGCCTCAAAGTGATTAGTTCCTTTACAGAGATTGGTTTAAAGCAGTTGCATCTTTCGTCTTGAACCTAAAGATCAAATCTCAATACCCAAAGCAAGCTTTCTGCTCTTGCATCCAAAAAATATGTTATATTTCCATAATCCCATATATGTTTATAGAATAGTTTACTGAGAGAGAGAAAGTTTTTCGTATTTAAACATAGAAATGAAACTTTCATAATATTCTAGTTAAGTATAGTAACTATTCTTTATTAAGAACAGGATATACAGAAATAGAAATTAAGCTAGCTTTGTTCCCACAAGGTTACAATCGCAGTTTAAATCAGCATGCGTACGTTTTTTTCATGTCGCTTGTTTCTTTTAGTTCTTTAAGTTTTGTTAATTTTTTGTAAGTGCGCAAGATGATGTCAGGTGATAAACACTGGCAAAATGTTATGTTTCAACGCCATTTATGTGTTTAAGTGTTCCGGTTCTTAGGCATATTAAAGTATTTTAACACCAAAGTGCTGGAATATCTCCTATATGTAACAGTTTATTTGTTATGAATTTCGCGCAAAACTACACGAGGGCTATATGTGCTAGCCGTCCCTAATTTAGCAGTGAAAGACTAGAGGTAAGACAGCTAGTCATCATCACCCACCGCTAACTCTTGGGCTACATTTTTACCAACGAATAGTGGATTGACCGTCACATTATAATGCCCCCACAGCTGAAAGGAAGAGTAGGTTTGGTGGTACGAGGATTCGAACCCGCAGATTGCGAGTCGAGCACTCTAACCATCTGGCCATACTAGGCCTATATGTAGAGACATTTTACACAGATCTATAACAATCATATCTTTAATAGGTAAATTTAAAGGCTGTTTAAGTCAGAATTATTTTAAAGATGTTTTACCTTATATGATATTTTGTGTGTATTTTAACAATTACAAAATTTACTCTTTAATACCAAAAGTCCTTGTATTGGGATATGTAAGCGCATGATTACAGTTTAGAATCATCTTAACGCATTTGTTGTTCGTATTTATATTTATAATAATGACCTTGTATATGTATGTACAGCAAGTTCTGAAGGACATTTTGTTACAAGATCTGACTGGTGGAGTGTTATTTACAACTTATAACCCTTTCGAATAGCAGGCTGTACGTAATTTGGTGCTTGTAGAATCTGTACAGTTAGTTCTAAAGAGCATTCTCTACATGACCTGGGAAGCAGAATGTTGTTTACAGGTGATAATCCTTTACCATGTTTCCTCGCCCCTTATCCTCTATTTTTCTAATTATACTTCTTGGCTTATCATCGAACTTAATGAAACCATTCATTGCAGTGTTTCTTCCACTAGAAAGCTAGTAAAATCGCAGTCTTCGTTAATTTCGTTTGTTCTATTCACTCATCATTACAGCCAACAACGATGGCCGAGACATCAGCGGAGAACAATCTCTCCACGAAGAGGAAACAAAACGACAACGCACACAGTACAACGGGGATCAGCTCTACACCAACGTAAGTAACAATATATTAACAACATGGTGAAGGTGGAAGGAATCAGTTTATCGTATACTGCTCATTAATCTATTTACGGAAACATGTATAGTATATTCATTGCAGCATTTTAAATCAATGACATTTTTATATAAACGAAGGACGATTAAGATTAGTCTTATCAGTTTCCTAGCCTTAACAGTATTAAGACATTAATAGAAACTGTAAGGTAAACACTTTAAAACATTTTGATAGTCGGGACACGTGATCATCTTAAAATACTTATTCCATTCCTAGTTATATAAGTTTGTGATTTACACAAAGAAAGAAGATTTAAACAGAAATAATTGTAAGTAAAACATACAAATGTTTTATATACTTAACGGAGAAAAATGTAAGTCTGTTCTATAAGTATTTTTTGTAATATCTCGAACATATTTATTAGTCTTAATCCTTTGCAGTTATAGTGTTTGAAACCACACAGCTTATATTTGTTAGTTTTGTCCTATTACCACTTTTGTAACCTATGTGTTAATCATTATCGAAAATCATTTATTTTTCTCAAGATCAATAGTTTTTGATAAACACTACATTTTGTTTTTCTTCAACTAATTCTAAATGTAATATTTTTTTTTCTACATACATAAAGAGTAGTTGGTCGTTGTTTTCAGCAGTGTTTTATAGACGTCCCGGAACCCATCGTTCCACTTCCGGTAGACGATGAATAGCGTTAGTTCTCATTTTTCCGTAGCTACTCTCAGCAACGGACATTAAAGAAGTCTCCCATTGAGGCGTTTTTCTCCGCATCACATTTTAGCGACATCCGAGCATGCTGGGACATAAGAGTTTTTCAACATTATGTTGGCAGCATAAATTCACAGCGTTTCATTATTATCATCAAAGAGTTCCGAACGACATTAACTGCTTCATCGATTGTTCAATTTTTTTGTGTTTGGTTGTTGCATTGCAAAATGTTGTTGCTTATGAATTTCGAAGAAAAGAAAACTTGTATTTTAAGGTTTATTGGCTAATAACGAGCCTGAATAATGGATAACTTTTGATCGGATCGGAACTATCAATTATAACTTAGTAAATGATCTAGTCTAACGACATTGTCATAAAGCATAAATTCATAATAATTAGAATACACTGGTTCATCAATTGGGTACCTTCGCTAGTGGCAAAGTCTGCCGATTGGTTTCTCTTTTGCTTGGTAAATATCATTAATAAAATCTATAATTATCAAGACTTCATTGATAGCTCACTTTTATAGATAAGGTTTCAACAAATAACTTGCTGTGTTGTTTTTCTTAGTTGTGATGTAAAGTTACAATCTGACTTCAATAAAGTTGTATATTTTCAACAAACTCATGTTGTATATAGACCAGACACAATAACGCATGATTTGCACGTAAAATAAACTTAACACAAAGATTTCCTGTGGCCTGTGTTTGTTAATATAGATTGCCCTGGCGTAGAAAGTAAACCTATCTATCCATAGACCAAGTACTGTTCTTGTTGTTGAACTCGTGTTTACGTATAGAATAAATTAATAGTAAGTTACTAAACTTACCTAGTTTCTTGTAACACCTTATAATGAACGTATATACAGAAGTACGTGTTAAAGTTTACGCTGTTTGCTCTCTCTGCTACTGTAAAATTTATACAGATGTATAAATATACTGATATCGCTGCGAAATTACACAAAATTATGTTTGTTAAAAACACATCAGTATTCGTATTTTTTGTGAAAATTCAAACAGATTTTAATAGGATATTTTAATCATATGATGTATATAAAAACATTAGATAACAGTGTGTTGTTCTTACTGGCGTGGTTTAAAAACAGGTCTATAGAAATACGGTACAAGACAGCACTGTTCTATTCCACCAGATGTGGCCCAAATGGGGAAAACAGGACGACTTAAAATCTATGATGGCGGACCTACCGACGGCCATGTCTAACGGATCGTCGTACACTCTACAGCAGTTTGCCTCCGCCCAAGACCCAGTTTTCTCTCCCGTCGTAACGTCGGCCGGTGCAGAGCATTTGAAACACGATGCTCTGGCCGTTGCCTACGATGGAGCGATCAATTCTATCAACGCTCAAGTGCAGTCAACGGCAGTTTATTCTCCACCTCTCGGTAAGTACAATTACCTGTTGTTGTTTTTTTGTAATTTATGGCAAGACATCTTTCCCTTTATTTTACGCGTAGGTTACTGCTATGATCAGATGTCTCATATCATTAATAATGTCAAATAAATCAGTTATTTTTATTGGCAGGTGAAGACTAATATAGAATTAAAAAGTACTTTTATGATCCAAATCTCCAAACGCTATATTTGTGTGTGTAATTGTGCATTTTTATGCTGTCAAGAGCTATCAATGCATTTATTTAACACTTCATAGAAATATGACTATGTGTTTATTAATGAAATATAAACACTATGCCGTATTTTTCGGTGTATAAGACGCACTTTTTTACCCCAAAATTTGATGTCAAAATCTGCTTGCGTCCTGTACACCGAAGGTATGAATAATATATATGTATATATACGATATACACAAACCATGTGTAAATATATTTAAATAGGCATGCATAGCTTAGTTCAATTGAATGTGTTATTTATAACAATAGTAGTTTCTTTTTCTTTTAAAAACATAACTATTTATAATGCTCCCTAAATAATGATAAAATAAATTACAGTGAA